CTCTCTCTCTCTCTCTCTCTCTCTCTCTCTCTCTCTCTCTCTCCTTGTCAGAAAGTTTAGATCCCTGCCTCCTGGTCAAGTGCAGAGTTTCTTCCCAGACTGATTTCTTCCCAAAATTATGTACTGGTCAGAGTTCTCCAGAGAAACAAAACCACTAGGATATATGCAGATGCGCTAGAGAAAGTTTGCATTTTTTGTGCAAAAACATTGACATTTATTATGAAATTTGGCTTGTACAATTATGGAAGCCAGAAAATTCCACTCTATGCTCTCTGGCAACAAGAGACCCATGAAATCTAGTGGCATAGCTCTCTGTTCAAGGCTAAAACCTCCAGAACCACCTGAAGCTCCAAGGTTCAGGAGCCAGAAGCCCTCAGGTCCAACAGCCAGGTCATAAGGATGTCCCAGATCAAGAAGGGAAAGAAATTGTCTCTTCCCCAACCTTTGCCTTGTATCTGGGCCCTTAATAGTAATACCCAGCTGCACTGGGGAGGGCGGCCTCCTTTACTCTATTTAGTGGTTCTCTTTTACAGATACTCAAATGAGGATCAAACAGTAAAGATACTTTCCTTTGATAATATACCTTCTCAGACAAATTTAGAAATAATGCTTTACCTAGATATATCGGCGTTCTTAATCCTAGTCAAATTGACAGGTAAATAGTTCTCTGTTATCTTTATGAATCTTTAACACACTTATGCATTTCTGAGTAATTATCACTATCCAACATTATTATTTACTTCCCTGTTGTTTAATCATCTGCCTCTTAACAGGAAGCATATAAGCTCCAGGTCAGCCCAGGTCTGTTCTTTTTCATTGCTGCATCTACACGAATGCATCAAAGACTGCAGCTCTTGAGAAATATTTGAGGAACTGAAAACCACAGATAGAATTTCCATAAAAATAGACAAGGTGGAAATTACCATACACCCTACTTTCATAAGCTTTAAGGGGCAGGGAAGTCAAAACTTGACAGCACTTGAGCAATTATGATATTGCTTCACTCCCCTCATTATCACATATGTGTTGTTAACCCTCCAATCTCCCTACACACACTATGTCTGTGGCAGCAGAGTGACAGTCATTTCTAGGTTTAACATTTGCAATTAGTCCAGGCCCTCTTGCCTCTACCGTCACCATATCATGGGCTAGCTGGTCCCCTCTTTCTTCACTTACGTTGTGTCCATTCTTCACTTTCCCCCAGAATCCTTTTAAGTTAACATTGTTTTAGCTTGGGAAGTTGATTGCCTTGTTTATGCCTCTATTGCTTTCATTTTTTTTTATACTAGGAATTGAACTCAGGACTTGCTCTTGCCAGGCAAGCATTATACCATTTAGGAATATCCCAGCCCTATTGCTCTATTTTCTATAAGGGCTTTAAAGGAATTTCCCATTGACCTTGCTTGCTCTTGAATGTTAACTACAAAATGCTTGCCTTTGTGAGCCCCCCAAATCCCAGGATGTGAGAAGGAAGAGTCAGTGTACATGCAGTGACCACACCCCCAGCACACTGAATCCCACTTGCAAAGCCCCTGGGAACTCAGCCTCCCAGATTCTCTGTGGCTCAAGGGTCCCCTTGGCAGCTGTTAATTTTTTATATCATTGCCAGTGTAACTTATCACCAGCTTTGTGACTTGATGGCCTTCTTTTAATTATTTTTCTTTAATTTTTAAACTCAGCTGAATTTATTACCTTTTAGCAGAATGTGACCTGGGTACTCACTTCCACTCACGGGCCCTGTTCCGAATGATTTTTGAAATAGCTCTGCGGTATCCCTAGAGGTTGTCTCTCCCTTGAAACAGTACTTTTCTGTGGAAAACAAGCCCGTGCAGCTCTTGCCGTCAAGTTTTCAGTATACCGTACTTCTAGAAGCCTAGGACATGCGGATCTGAAACTACTGGGGAAAGTTTAATAAAAGATCCTATAAGAAAACTCAAGCTATCTTAACAAATATTCCTTTCAACATGAGGGAATCTCAACACTTCAGAGACACAAGATCTGGTCTACTTCGCAATCTGGCTCGGCAGCTCAGAGTTCACAGTTAAGTTACATCTTACCACACACATCTCAGCTTGTTAAAGTAAACCAAGGTGAAACTCGAGGAAGCACTGCCAGCCCTGCTTTAGTGCCTACAATATCACAGTATTACTTAAAAGAGGAAAGAAATCTTATCTTCCCCTTGAAAGCAGTTATCATGCCACACAGACTGAACAAAAAAATCATTGAAAATATATATTATCAGAGGGAATGAAGATTTAAGCACTGAGCACGAATTAGTGCTTCTTCGGCCCGAGCTCAGTTGACTTCTTCCATGTGTGATGTGTCGTCATCTCCTTTGAGGGGAGGCATCTCCTCATTAACAGCAGCAGCGGTGTCATCGGCGGTGGGGTCGTCCTCATCAATACCTAGACCCAGCTTGATCATCCTGTAAATCCTGTTCGCGTGGGTCTGCGGGTCTTCCAGGCTGAAGCCAGAGGACAGCAGTGAGGTTTCATACAGCAGGATGACCAGGTCCTTCACAGACTTGTCGTTCTTATCGGCCTCGGCCTTTTGCCTCAAAGTCTCAATAATCTAGTGGTCAGGGTTTATCTCCAGGTGCTTCTTTGCTGCCATGCAACCCATCGTGGAGTTGTCTCTTAGGGCTTGGGCTTTCATGATCCTTTCCATGTTCGCCATCCAACCATATGTGCTTGTGACAATACAGCATGGGGATGTCACTAATCTGTTTGACACGACCACCTTTTCAACCTTTTTCTCCAAGATGTCTTTCATGATCTTGCACAGGTTTTCAAACTTTGTCTTCTTCTCTTCCTGTTTTTTTTTTCTCCTCTTCATCTTCTGGAAGTTCCAAGTCCTCTTTGGTAACCGACACTAAAGCTTTCCCCTCAAATTCCTTCAGCTGCTGAACACAGTACTCATCAATGGGCTCGATCATGTAGATCACTTCGAAGCCATGCTTCTGGAGCTGTTCCACAAAGGCCGAGTTAGCTACCTGGTCCTTGGTTTCACCTGTGATGTAATAGATGTGCTTCTGGTTCTCCTTCATCCTAGTACAGTAGTCCTTGAGAGAAACCATCTCATCCCCAGAAGCAGATGTGTAGTAGTGTAGCAGTTCTGAAAGCTTCTTCCAATTCTGAGAGTCTTCATGTATGCCAAGCCTTATGTTTTTAGAAAACTGCTCATAGTACTTCTTGTAGTTCTCCTTGTCCTCTGTGAGTTCAGTGAACAACTCTAAGCACTTCTTTACCAAATTCTTTCTAATGACTTTCAAAATTTTGCTCTACTGTAACATTTCCCGAGAAATATTTAGAGGGAGATCCTCAGAGTCCACCACCCCTCTGATGAAATTCAGATACTCGGGGATCAGCTCCTCACAGTTATCCATGATGAAAACTCTGCGGACATACAACTTGATGTTGTTCTTCTTTCTGTTTTCAAATAAGTCAAAAGGAGCTCGCTGTGGGACAAAAAGAAGAGCCCTGAATTCCAACTGTCCTTCCACGGAAAAATGCTTCACTGCCAGGTGATCCTCCCAGTCGTTGGTGACACTCCTGTAGAACTCCCCGTACTCCTCATTAGTAACATCATCAGGGTTTCTGGTCCAGATGGGCTTTGTTTTGTTCAGTTCTTCTTGGTCAATATACTTCTTAATTTTCTTCTTCTTCTTCTTCTTCTTCTTCTTCTTCTTCTTCTTCTTCTTCTTCTTCTTCTTCTTCTTCTTCTTCTTCTTCCTCTTCCTCTTCCTC